ATGTATGTATGTAAATAAGCTTTAAAAATGAAAAATTAAGCATATTGTGCAATTTTGAAAACCTATGTGTCAAAAACTGTTTGCCATGGCGACATGGATGACCGTTATCAACAAAACACTTACATCAAAATCTGCCCAGATAAAATTAAGGAAAAGTCCGAAAGTTTCAGAGCTTTAGCTGTCTTGGTTCGAAAGTTATTGGCTTTTTACGCGCAGGGGGGGCTCAAAAGCCCACCCCTCCCACAGTCTGAATAGGGTTAACGTGTGTTTGGATTTTTTTCCTGCTATTTTCTGGGTATTTTACACAAAAGTTTCGGTTGATTCTTTTTGCACTATTTATTACAACAATAGAATATTATCTAAACACACACTATACAATCCATGGAATGTTAGTCTCTCCATGTTTTAGTTTGACTTTGTTGACACATTTTTTTAAATTTAATACTTATAAGGGCTATAAGGGGTACTACCTCCCCAACTTGTGGGTGGGGGCGTACGACTCTCAAACCCTTGCCCTATTCCAGTCCAATTTTTTTTGAGTTCACATACCCTACCCCAGACTAAAGGTTTCAAATGTACGTTATTTTAGCGCTGATACCTAGCTGATACGATCACAGACAAAACTCCACTCTGTTGTKTTATCGACGAGTGAAGTATTACATTACAAACTTGTGTCTGCCATATTTATTCTTCGTGGTAAAGACTAACATATTCTATTTTCCAGGCACATACATTAGCATAACTACAATTAACATAATACAACACACTCCACCCCTACCGACGTCCTTTTTCGTTTTTTTTTAGTTTTGTTTTGAATTCGTTTTGCAGCAACGGTAGACCTCATTCTACTCTGAGATTGATTGTTCTCCTGATGAGTCTCATATACAAGCTAACATAGCATGAAAAATACTAATAACTCCTGATGTTTTTGGATGTTCTGTTTTTSCAGCACAAACAAATTACCTATTCATTTTTCAATATCTCTATTTTTAAAAATTTCGCGAGACATGCCCTTAAACGTGTACGTGGAACTAGACTAGTACAATGAAAGCTGTTTTTGGAATCACATCGACAGTCACAGTATTCGTAGAGAAGGTCGGTTGTGCCGATGCAAGCAGTGTTTAGGAATTGAAATGCTGCTATTCACACAATATGTGACTCAAATTTGCCTTCCCTGCATGTTTGCATTCGTAG